TATTTAATATAGCTTCTGAAAGCCCCAGATGCCCTTTTCCAAAACGACTTCATTCCCAGAATCTCATTGTGCTTTCTAAATCACACCACAGTATGTATTAGAAGATCATTAATTACAAACTTAACAAGTCAGCAGAGCCATTAAAAGATCTTTAAGGCATATTTGACCATAAATCTCCTTAAACTATATTTAATGACTGGATTTTTGTGAAATATTTTTTATCAAGTTCTAATTAGATGTGTGATAACAAACCCTGCTGTACATGGGGCAAATGAGGGAGCCGTGACAGGCCCATCCATTGGAGCTGTCCACGTCTGGACACTGAAACTAATGGAGCACTGCTTCTATCTCAGGGATGGATAGAAAGCAATGAGGGATGAGACTCCAGAGTCCAGTCCGGCCTGCAAATGCACTCATTTAAAGTCTCTTATTTGACTGTAATAAAGGTTCAAAAATGCCTAAAGGCCTCAAGGCTCCAGTCAAAAATTCCATTACGATTCATTCAGGATTGATCCCCAAATACTTAATGGCACCGTCACACTAGGATCGATCATGTTTCCAAAATAACCTGGATAGTCTAATCGGGTTTTTGACATATCGGCGGGGCGAATGCCAACAGGATTTTCTTGTAAGGGTGTTAAATGTGTTAAAGTCTGAAAGTGCTTTTTGACTGAGGAGACAAAGATGAATAACACACAACAGGTTGGTATTTTAGTTATAAATTAGACAATAATGTTTCAGAAGTTTTCCTAGGTTTTGCCTTCAGAACAGAGTTTCTACATTCAACTTCTTAAGTTATCTGGACAATTTAGAATTTAGAAAAACATTTTTCCAAATTAACAATAAAAAAAAGACTTGTTTTGATTCTGTTTTTGATCCGACAAAAACTTCTCAGTCGAGAAATGTACATTAATGTTTTTGAAATATAAGACATTTCTGACAAAATGTCACTTTATGACACTGCTAAAACTCCCATAATGCCTTCCTCACTTTTTTGTTTTTGTATTTTTTTGCTTTCTTTCGACCAATCACATCTGGTGTGATTTTTTGTCAATTGTTTGATTCAGTTTTGCAGTATTCATGCCAAAAAAGAAGGCAAATAAGCTGCTATTTAAATGTGGATAATGCATTAGCAGCTCAGACCTAAATCTAAATTTAGAAGCCATCAAATTATCAAAAAGAAATTCAGCACTCCTCCTTCACAGCATTAGCTGAGTCGAGTAGTAAACAGTGTGAGGACGTGTTTGTGTTGGTGTGTGTATACGAGTTTACATTAGGTGTAAATACTATTCTCCTGCAGATCCCCCCCCCCCCCCTCTCTGTGTTTCGCCTTTTGCTGACCAGGGGAATTAAGAAGCAAAACGTGGGTTTTAAGAGCGTTCCTTTCATGTCTTGATGTAAGCTTTGGCATTACTTCAGACATCAAGATCGGTTTCATAGAAATCCCATTCCATCTAAAGTAAAAGCTCGGCAGTAAATCTGCCGATACTCCCCCATAACACTTCCATAAATGATTCATTCAGCTCGGTTTAGCTGATGCAAAACAGAATGTTAGTGAGTTGTGGATGGAGCCTGAGCTGCGAGAGTAGGACCAACCCCGCTGCTTAGTAATTTCATCAATCTCTGGGAGAAAAAGAGAGGAGAAAGGAGAAAGAAGAGAACGGCGCACACTAATAATAACTTTTGTGTCACTATTCAGAGGTCGTGTTTTTTAATCCCTCAGCCTAAAGAATTGTGTTATTCTAAAATATAACCCCAGCGGTGCAGAAGCGGTTGAGATCCATCACGGTGTGAGATAAGAGCCGGCGGATCGCCTCCCTCTGCACAGCCTCGCCCAGAACTACACAGAGAGATAAGATGGAACTTTTGTTTGAAACCTGATGAGAACCCTCTTAATGAAAGTGCGCCGCCAAAAATAATCTTTTTTCTCCATGTTAGTCAATCAAGAAATGGTGTAGTTGGGGGGAAAAAGAGGAGAAAGAAAGTAATTTTGCATAATCAGTGAGCACCATCTGGAACAATTAACCAAATTCCACAGAACTCAGAGGATCAGTCATATTGGCTTATTAAAGATCCAGAATTATACAAGTAATAAATCCTTGGAAAAACGAAGCGTACCCCTGCCTGTCACGACTATTTTAACTTCAAATACAGTGGAATACTTGATAAGGCTGAAAAGAGGAGATTAATATATGCAAATTATGTCGAGCATTTAAAAGCCCCCCAACAACTGTCCCGTTTTTTTTTTCCCTGTCTCTTATTACAGGGCTTTATGTTTTATTCATACACCAACTCACCTGTCATTTCATAAGCTATAATATTATGAGGGTATTATTAAACAGCATAAAGTGGAGCTTTAATTGGAAAGCTCCATTGCATTTTCCAATTATTTGCAGCAAATTAAAAGCAGATGCACATAGTTTAATAAGAATTCTAATATTGTTTCCTGAAAATCAAAAAATCACTGTCATCCTGCCAAGATATTTTGCAAACCCAAGTTAATTTTGAGCCTCCTATTTTTTCCCTCCGCCTCCTTCCCTCTGAAGGATGAACTGTCTAGTGTCTGTTAATTGAAGTTCCTCTAATGGATATGGAAATAATTGCTCTCCATATTACGTTAGATCAGGGCCAATGTCAGGATTTCTTTTTGATTAATGCAATAGATATGTAAATGTATTACTTTTTATTACGTTTACCTTCTTATCAGGTGGATGTCTGCTGAATACTATATATGTTGTTCTGCAGGTAATGACGAGAGACTGCAATGCAACGCGTCACACAGGTTTATTTGAGAGTTTCTGAATTTTTTTCAACACTATCACATTTATTTATATCCAACATATGCCTTTTAGACACATTCCATGATGCACGTTTAATGACCTTTAAGCTATCCTGTTTTTCTGTCAATGTATAAATAACAGACCTAATTGGCGGAGGGACTTGGCATGGATCAAAGCAACGTGGTGGAGAAAAGCAAAAGGTTGGAGCGGCTCTGCAAACTTGATAACTTTTCAAATGAGCTTGAACTGTCAAGTGAAAGACGGCTGCAAAATAAATGTGAATTAGTTTTTAATATTCTGGTAATAAATGTCAAAGCGCCTGCACATCACATCTGTACATGATGTGACTGCGGATGACAGATTTCCCAGACATGTTACCTCTCCTCCCCTCAACTCTCTCTTTTTTTTTTTCTATTGGGTTTTTGTTTTGTTGGGAAGTGACGGAGGGTTTAATCAAGAAAGCAGGCAATTCATCAATCCTAAAGAAGGCGCCTGTACAGCCCTGACAGAGCGCACATGGTTTTAGACCAACTCGAACCTGGCCAGCTGTCAGCCCACACACACGCGTGCACACGCAGACACCCACGCACCCCCCCCCCCAACCACACACACACGACAGCTACCAGCGCTAACAATTAACACACATAGGCTGTCGGCTACGACCTCACACTTGGTCCGCAGGCTATCACATTGTTAATGAAGGGAAGTTGTGTTCTCTCACATGCACAGTGTGATGCTGTGAGGCTGACGAGTACACAGTCTGAAGAAATGAAAGCCAAGAACCATCTCAGGCTAACTCCATTATCCACTCTTCTTTCAAATCACGCAGGGACACATGAAGGTAGAAGGAGGCAGCTGCAAAGGACAGTTTTCCGGAGGTAAATGATGACTGCTGGCAACGCACTGTACAGTATGTGCATGTTCTTCACTGTCACTCAAACACCGTCCCTGTGGATGTATCGCACACCCGATGCCACGAAGCACTCAGCTGTGTGTTAATGTGTGCTCCTTCAGGGCCACACTTTGCACACTTGTCTTGACTAACTTATAATATGACTGTCACAGCAACAAAATGATGTATTAATCATTTTTTTAACACATCTTTTGGGATGGGGGCATACAAAACTAAAAAAGAAGAGAAAAAAAATATTCGATTTTAATAAGTAATTTTTAATTCTTATATATTTTTATATTTAAAAAATGACCGTTTATTTAGCATTTTAATCATGTGCACTTCAGCTATTGTTTAATACCTAGGCTTGTGTTAATAAGGCAGGGTGTAACATGGCCATAGCCTGGGTGTGCCTGTGCCTGAGCAGCAGGAGGAATCTTCACCACATGGTGTCTCTCTCCAGCTGGATAAAAAGCTGCCTGCCTCGTTCTCCTCATGTGAATCACACGCTCTTTTAGGGCGAGAGCGTCTCAGCCGACTCTGACTCTGTGGCTCTGAGGCGGCCGTGGTTAAATCTCTGCTTCCTAACGAATTAGCCTCTCTTCTGTCTTAGTCCTGCAGCATTGTGCTTTAGTAGAGTTTCTCTCCTTGACAAAGAGAAGGAAATTCGTCCAGTGCAATGCACGGTACATATGTAAGTATGGCATGTGATGGATCATCTTTGACATCTGTTAAATGTTCTCGAGTGTAATGCCGAGCTCCTTTGGGAAGTCACGTTCGCTCAGATAAGCAAAGCTCTGTACAGTATCCATCAGTGAGGAGATCTAGACATAAAGCGTTTGTAGATAAAGCACCAGAGGAGCCGCCTTTATGTCCACATGGTGATGCCATTCAGTGGAGATAGAAAACCCACGAGTTGTTTTTTTTATAAAAAACAAAGCATTTTCTTGCGGTACAATGGCCAAAAGTAAGCATCCTAACGACCCATGTTTTTATAGGCTGAACAAGTTGACCCTGCCGTCAGCTTTTAACAAAGTACTTTTTCTTAAAGCTGGTGGACTAGTCATAAAAGTCTAAATATCATCTCAACCTATTTGTGGTCAACTTGTAGATAAAAAGTGACGTCTGCTAGTTTTTATTTGGCAGTTTTTAAGCAATCATTTTAATTTTGACTTTCTTTTTAATGCTATTAAATATAGCATTGCTGTCACAAAGGGCTTTTGTTACCCTGGAACGTGATGTCATTTTTAAACTTCATGAAAAATAAACCTAAATATACAATTCTAAATACAAGACTAAAATAGATATTTTGAGTGTGAAGTATTTACCAGTCATGGTGTAGTTCGCACTGCTCTGGGGCTCAGAGTCCTTCCGGGTCTTGGTCTTCCTGTGCCCAGAAAGAAAACAACACTGTTTCAATAAACAGATCAACATTATTTTCCCAGACATTATGGTAAAACATGTAAGGCGCCATGTCAAGTTTCTATTCAATGAGTATTATTATGTTCCCAGACATATTGCCCATACATTAGAACAGAATGTATTTAGTATGGAAGCCTTGAACTGCCTCCTTACACTAAGGCTTTTTTGATCTCAAATCAAAACAGAGCACTGAAATACCAGGATGAATCTAAAGAGGAGAAATATGGTAAAAGTTAAAGCGTGCCTCAGCTGCCTAGGGGCTTGAACAGACCGTTAGCGGGGGGGGGATTGGAGCAGGATCTTGTAAATTCTGGAGGAACTGAGAGATTCCATTATTCAAGGGAAGTCTGCTTTTCTTTTTTTCACGTTTCATGGCCTTGTATTACAGAAAACAGCACAGAATGCACTTTGTGGGCAGTTGAAGTTAACAAACCATATAAGATTGAAATCCTCATCAATCAAGCTATCATGAATTACACCCTGTGACTCACCCCTACGGATCGATAAATCCACAGCAAGCAGGAAAAAAAAAAAAAAATTATTCACAGCTTGGAGGGAGCTGCATAACATGACATGCTCTGGAGGTAAAAATGAGCTCCGGGATGGCATTATAAAACAAATTATCTTATAATGATAATGCAAAGTAGTTGGCAATATCATTAAAATGGGAATTGCTTTGATTGGAGGACACGCAGGCGTACAGGATTGTTGGTGAAGAAAAAGAACAAGCTAGACAAGAAGAATAAAACGATGTTGAATTATGAGAAGACACAACAGATTTTGGGAGTGAGCAGGTGTGGAGTTAGGAATAATGAGCCGTGTTTTGTGTACTGTATCATGTTCTGTATTTGGTCTGTTTATGGAAAACATAATAAGTCTTACAGGGGGGGTGTCAAATCCTTGAAATTTAGGACTAAAGACAGATCTGCATATTCTCCGAGTGTTGTGCATGAGTTGTGTGGTCTTATCTCTTCGCATGAGATAAATAAATGCAATCATTTCCATCAAGAGCAATAAAACAAGACTTCTGACAGGCAGTGGTATTTATGAGCTGAAGCCTGCAACTCAGATTTATTTGCAATGAAAGGGTCGACTTTTCCCCCTCCTCATTTACATCAGCATTTGGCCATGTTAAATCCAGGCCAATGGTGAATTTTTAAAAGGTTGGCATCAATCTTGTGGGAACGATTGCCATATTCAACGCAGACTTCTTTTACCTTTCAAAAGGTTGATTCCACTGCTCAGGAAGAAAGGTACGCATCTTTCGAAGCACAAAGACATCCCAAGGACTGATACAGTGTGTGTGTGTGTGTGTGTGTGGGGGGGGGGGGGTTTAAATGTCCTTTTGGTCTGTTTTGTTAAATTAGTACGCAGAATAAACAAAGAGAACAGAGAAAGAATAAGTCTGGCGATTGATCTATGCATCTGAAAACCTGAAAGTGGTACTTAAAGCCCCAAAGACTTGATGTAAAACCAGGGAATTGTGCTCATGAAATGATTGTCTACAGGCAACCTCTAGGGTTTCTTTTCCCATCTGTTTGAAACACAAAACTGTCTCAATCCAAATTGGTGATTTCTAAATACAATTTTAGGTGCATTGGAGAGGGTAACATATGGCAAATCAATTAGACATCTAATTCTTAAAACAAAAACATGGCAAGTGCATTTGCTAATCAACAGCAGTGTCGGGGCTCCTATTATGTCAGCCACTGGAGTTTTGACAACAATTAATCCTCATTTCAGGCAAGGAGAGCCATATTGACACATATTCCTAATTTGAATATTCAATTATAGAGTAGTTCCTCATCAAATTAGAGTAAAACTGGGAACACGGCCTGAAAGATTTACACAATTACGAAGCAGATCAAGAGTCTTATGTTCCCATGAAATCTGCCGCAGTTAAAATCATATTAGCTCTTCGAAGCAAACCACGACACTAAGGATTACTTGACAACACGAATTACAGTTCAACAGATTTTTTTGTTCTTTAAGTTGTTCCGTGCGGGATAAGGAAAAGAGTTGTCTCCGTTATGGGAAAAAAAGTGGGAGAGTCAGTGGGGACAGACGAGCGGTAGTCAGTGGAGAGGTAAGATGAGGATGAGAGTAATATCGGCGCAGCGATACAGAAAGCTGGGAGCTCTTGTTTTGACACACATCCAGCGTTTCCCGTGACAACATCTCCACACCTTCCTCTATGTGCCGACAGTGCTGCTTTGTGGGAGCTGCTTTCTCACCCATCATTATCCTCCTTTAAGCTCTGTGTCAGGTGTTGAAAAGTGGATCTCTCTGAATTTGGTGGCAAATCACTGCACATCGCCCATCAGATCTCAGCTGATCATTCGATCATTCTTGGCACCGCGCCACGTCCGCTTGCTTGATCTACGCTACTTTTTCTGCAACTTTTTCCAAACACAAGAAAGTAATGAGTAAGATTGAAGGGGGAGTGATTGTTCTTCAACACTTCTGAGATGTGTCAGGCGCACACTGACAGTCGCGGTGTCTCTGTCTCGGCAACAGTCGCGTGCGGTGGGAAGTCTTGGTTAACCAGCAAGCAATGAAAGCTGATACAATACTCCTGCAGAGTGTCACAGGTAAAAGACAGCGCTATCTGAAACATATTGATATGCATGCCAATTCTGACACTGATGACTCTCTAGGCTTCAAGGAAAAGCCAACTCTAGTATGCAATGATAAAAAAAAAAAAAGAGATACTCAGCCTTGACATTTTTATCGCTGTACAGTTTGATTTAAAAAGTGTCCGTGTGTACAATAGCCTATTATTCTAAGAGAAATGTCAAAAACCTTGATTCTGAGTGAAGCGAAAGGAATTGCAATATTAGGACGAGGCTAATTTATGCTAGCAGTCACTGTAGAGGTCAGATATCAGCCTCAGCAATGACAGTTTTATCAGGAGAACAAATGGCAGCGTTGGCCAGGAGAAGGAAGGAGGGGGATACTTTACTGGACACATTAAAAGGCTGACCGGATGGCGCAGGTTTCCCACATTATAAAGTCGGCTGATACGCTCCGTCTTGACAGAGAACAAGCCAAAGTGGTTGACATCAAGCTGCAGCTATGAATCAAAAACAGAACGCACTCGCTGGGTGAGGCGCTTTAGACAAACTTGATAAAGGGACATTAAACACACAAGGTTCAAATGCAGCAGCAGCAGCAGCTTGTATAACAGGCCTGTACCAGCTTTAGTGGTTCAATATGGTGAGACAGCCAGAGCCAATAAGAAATAAGTATTCTGGTTTTTATCCTCGATCCTACTTGATAAAACAATTCCTTTTTTAATTCCTCTGATTCTTTTTGCAAGGTTGCAGGGTCTACCAATTAGAATTAGAACATCCTCAGACTCCTCTAATAACACACAGCATTAGGTCTATAACCCTTTTCACATTGATACCAGCCAAAGCATAAAAGTATGATGGAAAACCAGTGGGGCCGATAGGGTCAAGAATTCTTTATTATTATATCAATATTATTTTTTTAGTACTTCCCAGCAGTATATAACAGTAATCACTTTATGATTGAGTCAATTCAATTAATGGGATCAAGAAAAAAAAGCTGGCAATGGATAGATGAATGGACGGATGGATAGCCAATTAAAAATAATTAATCAATCAGTTTACAGATTTTTTTTTTTTTTTTTTTAAATGTGTCACTTTCGTCTCTATAAAAGAAAACATGCAAAACATTGCTAGTTATAAAATGTTCTGCTGTATCCTTTGAGTATTTCACTGTTGGATGGACCAAAAAGGCAAATTGATGATATCACCTTGAGCTGTGTCTTTTCACATGGGCGTGTTTTACTTACAAATAATAGAAATAATCTAAAGGGAAATTGATTATTAGTTGCAGGCATAGTTCTTTAAGTACATTTAAATGTTTGCTAAAATCAACATTAGACCTTCTTACGTTCTGTAGCTAGCTGTAGTGATAATAGTCGCTTTAGGTTGTTGCCACAATCCTACTTATTACTTTATAGGTGATACAGAACAAGAATATATTTCTGACTTTTGTAAATCAAATCCCTGACTCTTTATCTAACTAACTAAGGCCTTTTTGGGAAAAAAGTTCATATTTATTTTTTTAAACTTTCCAAGAGCTACAGGGATCCTGTTTCCAGCTGACAAAACAATACAAAAACAATTAAAATACAACACCTTAGCCTTGATGCAATGACTCCGTGCATCCCATAATGATGCAACAGCCTACAGTGTGCTGTGTTCTGCAGCTCTGCACTCCTGAAAAAAGCTGATTTGCGGTGAACGTTTGTACACAACTCTAACAAGCTCTCGCTGCCTGAGGCGGTGAAACATTTGAGAGGGATCACTGCAGCTTTCAAAATTATAAGGGTCATTAAAAACTTACACATTATTGACTGTATTTAAAACATATTTTCCACTGACTGTAAAGAGCAGTTAAATTTAAGAGGTGCTATTCTCCAAAGGCCATAAAGTTGTTATAGATAGCCTGAAGGAGGCATGGAGGAGAGAGTTTTCTCTTGCTGAATATGAATAAAGTATAGTGGCGTGATAATACACACAGTTACACTACTGTACTTACTTGAGCAATCAGGGAGTGTTACGGAGCTGCTTATAAATCACTGTGTCAAACTATCTAATCTGTGACTTCAAAGAAACTACAGAAATATTTATATCTGTGTGTATGGTTGTCTAAAGTGCATGTAACTACACAGAGAGCATGCCAGATAAATAGTCAAAGAACTGCCGCTGTCTAAATTGCCCTCAGTCCCGTCCTTATGTGATGGAAATACTCTCAAAAGAAGACTCTCTGACTGTGGAATGAATTTTAATGTTAATACAAAAACAGCCGCCTGTGATCTCAGCAGGCATCAGGAGGGGGTGTGAGTCGCTTCGAGGTGCAATTTATTCCAACCTCTGAGCCTCGCCAACTTGAAAGTGGGCTTCAAAAGAACGGAGGATTACCGGTAAGAGTCGCTAAGGCGTACACATGGGCCTGAGGGCTCACCATCGCTTCGACACATGAAAGATTATTGACCATCAATTTCCCAAATATGGACGATTCACATTACTCTGCTCAGTTTGAACTTTTGGTTCTGAATTCACGGCTGTCCATTTGAATGTTCTCATCCCGCTGAGTGGCCGTGTGAACAGAAGCTCTGTGTTGAATACGCCTGCTGGCAAGCACCGCTCCGGCCTGTTGTGGCTTTTAAGTGGCTTTTACTCAGCCCAGCACAGGATGGCAAAGCATCGCACTTCAAGCTGGCAAACCCATCAGCGCCCCGTGCCAAAGCCCCGCTCTCCGCAGCGCCGCCACGCCGAAGGAGTCTCGATTGTTTATTTACAATTTGCTGTGGAAATCCCCAGCTCTTCATTGCGATGAATAATTGAGCTGTTTGATCTGGACACAGTACAAAGAGGTTGCTGCGTTCACTGTGAGGCCTGAGGCGGAGGAAGCCTGAGCAGCATAAGCAGGGGAAGGGGACGCACGCGCTCCAGCATGGCGGAGATCTTGGAGCTCTCCTCCCTTCCTCCGCAGCTGTCGCTCGCTCTCCGGGCTACATCTCCTCCTCTCTGCACACAGCAACACTCCTGTCACCGCAGTCAGAGGAGCGACCTGCCTCCGCCTCCCGGGACGACCCGCAAATAGCAGGAGTTTAGCCCTCATTGAACTCGTGTTCTTGTTCAGGGGTTCCTGTCTAGTTAGCCTGTCTCTCCTGTTCACCCTCGCTACCTCATTGTCCAGCCACAACCTTTTACGGCAGATTGCCCGGCAGTGATCAATGACTTGTGTCTCCATTGCCGTACACGTGGTACAGAAGCGTAACAACACCGGGCGTGAAATAAAAAAGAGAGGAACGAAGGAGGAAAGTTGAACTTCAAGAGGCAGTGTAGAATAAAGTGGCCTGATGTTACCTTACTGTGTTGGCTGGAGCGGCACTGTCAACTTCACTGGACGTTTCCTGGGACGACTGATGCTGAGGAGCGTCACCCATTCGGTACCATATCAACATACTGTTGATCTCACTGTGTAAAGAGACATGCTGATAGTGTTTGACTTTTAAACAGCTGGTAATCCTTCAAGAAGATACAAAACATCATGAATGTATTTATATCCACCCTCACCCTATACTGGTGTAGTTAACAAGATGGTACTTGGACTTGGCAACGATCTGGATGTCATACACAGCCGTCACAGCATCCGCACAAGGGATGATTTTCACGCAGAGCCTCCTCTTCCTCATGGCAGTTTCCTCTGATGAGTCAGGTACACATGAGGGTGTCAGACCGGAATTGCCGGTTGCGTAATCATGTGTTAGTTTCATGCTAAAAGAAAGAAATCTGTACACATTTTTAACCTTAAGGAGAAATATAGATATATTCACATCCCCCACTTGTGCTTTGCTATTTAGTCATTATCAGTCTTAGAATAAGAGATGAGCTAATATCAGCTCCTGGGTGACTTGCTGTGCTTAAAGGGAAATAACTGGACAGCAGAAAGCCACAATATCCACATGTGTTATTATAATTTGTATCATTTTAGTAGGTAAAATGACAGAGGCAAGTGAATCCTCCATCAGCTTTAGTGCACAACAGGGATTTAAACAGGATATTCTAGATAGAACCTCATACATAATGTCACATGTATACATTAAACATGGATTCACATAAAGTAATAAAACATTAAATTACACCGCAGCCAAACAAAACATAATCTCTTTTCTTCATTCTGGCAAAAAAACTAAAAAACATTGCCATGCTTTCCTATATTGCATCCGTGCCTGGCTCATTTATTTCCCCTGCAACAATAGAAAGTGCAGTGTAAATGCAATGATAATAAAAATAATAAACAAGCTGTCCTCACTCCCCACACCAAAATATTATTACATTTCCAAGGCATGGATAGTGAGGGGGAAATACATAGCACTCAAAAAGCACTAAAGCATTGGGGAATGCATTTCATTAATATTAGATAACCCCCATCCACTCGTCCTTTCCCCAAATAAATACATAAATAAATAAGCCCCTCATAAAGAAAAGCACAGCTCCAGCTGAGATAAACAATGACTCATGATTCTCTTCTCTTGTACCTCCAGGGCAAAATGTTTATTTTATTCCCACAGTCTGCCATAAATTAAGCTAACCTGCACCCATAAAACATTCACTATCTCAAGCAAAGCTGCCCCCGAGGACCTCCGCATAAGCTGGTCGGAGAGTGAAAAAACAAGAGGAGGGGAGCGGGTCTGCGGCCGGTATTGACTGTTTACTTACTTGTGTCCAATGTTTCTTCCACAGGTGTGAAGCCCTCTGGCAACGCGTCCTTAATGTCAATCAGCTTCATGTCCACAACAATGTCAGCCCCCTAAAACACAGAGCGCAGGCAGGACATTTAAAGTCATGTATGCAAATCCAACTCCTAAAAGGACAGAGAGCTTGAAGAAGAAAAGGTTAGTCATTTTTTTGGGGGGGGAGAAAATGTAGAGATAACAGAGTCAATGATTTACTAAAAGCTCGAGAAGTCTCTAAAGAGAAGGGATGACAAAATAGCTGAAGTAATTACTCTCTAATAGCTATTTTGTTTTGCAATGAGAGAATGCATCTGTGAACTTGTAATCATTCTCAACCTTTTGGCGAGAAGCAGTGGGATGATGGGAGACAGAGGAGGCAGTCTAATCAACAGAATGGGACTGGTTAAAAACAATCAGGGACTGTGTAGTTGACATTTTCAAGCATGACTCTTCCCTGCCTCCCATTACATTTTCATTTTTTGCCATAATAAATTGCAATAATACACAGCGGCAGTAGAGAGTGGGGCGAGCCAGGCGTGACTTGATGCGTCCGAAAAGGCTGGATTTCACTGCTACTGTTGCCCGACAGTCATTACCATTAGACATTTTGTATTCATAGTTTTTATACTGACTTAAGGAGGAATATGGATGAATGTTATTACTATGCATGGAAGTTTTTTTTTTTCTTGTGTTTTCCTCTTTTACTGGAGAGATTTCTTCCATCAGGGCCTGACAAAAGAGGATTTCCACCTCCAACCTAGAGTATGATAAATCACAAACTATTTACTTCCCCCCCACATAATTCAGGGGCTAATTTTACAGAATCTGTTTTTGTCATAGACAATTACAGTGGGAGCTCCAGTGAGTGGCAGACAAAATAGCCTTTGTTGATGGCTCTGTCATGTTTTATTTGTGTCAAAGTCCCTAAAACAATGTGGACACACATTTTAAGATAATACACAGGAACTAGGGGAAGGCTATTTGTATGCTGTATACTAAACTGAAGACCAGATTGAACTCAGGGACGAGGCAGCCGCTGCCAAGATACCTGGCATTTAGAGGACATCCTATAAGAAGAAAAAAAGACTTGATTAAGTCCTAAAATTGAGCTGATGCAAAATGATAACAAAAAGGCAGGTTTTGTTTACACTGTCTGCATTATCTTCCTGCAGCCCATGGAAAATAATAGACAGCCAATAGTGAGCTGTATGAGCGAGACAGGAAGGTGTATTTATGGCAAGGAGCAGCTGACAGCCAGGCAACAACACATCAGCTGTAGGCAGTCCAACACAATTGACCCAACAGTATTATGAGTAACATTCAAAGATCAAATCAGACACAGAGAAAGTAAAGGATGCTCTATATAAAGCACTGCTATAAGTGCTTTTTGTGGTGGAATGTCTTACGTAAATAAAGACTGTTTTTATATTCACAATTATATGTGCCTCAGCTTTCAGGAATCGCTGATTGGTGGTTAGCATTTTCTCTACAGGAACAATGTTGATAGAATAAATTGGAATAGTTAAAAAAAAAACAGCTCATTGTTATTTCATGAATAAACATAAATAATATCCTCAGGAGGAACACACAACATGAAAAATATCTCACAGAGATATTATTCATCTGGAATATGCATGCAAATCCATTATATTTAAAAGTTCAAAACGGCACTGCCAACGCTGGCCTTTTTAAAAAGGGGACTTTCACTGATCAAAGTGCAAAGTGTATTTAGATATGCAGGCGGTAGAAAGCAGGGCTGATAACTGCTGGCAAACAGAAAAGCTGCTGCAGACGATGTGTTGGTGCTGAATGCACAGCGAAAGGGAGAAGTTTATATTTACACTTACAGTCTTTCTGGTGAAACAAAGGTAGCGAGTGACCTTGGATTTGAATAAGCCGTCCTTCCACAGGTCGGCGTCAGAGCCATCTGTTGTTTGTGCAACCTATGTGAAAAAAAAGAACAAAAAAAAAAAAAAACAAGGAGAGAAGAAAACATGCAGGAGGTGGGATAAAGTTAATGTATGTGTGCCATGAGCGTGTTGCTTTTGCCTCTTCCCTTGCATACTAGCCTTAATTAACGCTTGCCTACACTCCAGCGCTCCATCTCATTAGTGCTCTGCGTGGGTAAAGAAGTCTTAGCCTCCAAAAAGACGGCTAAAAATATCATCCCTCGGGACCAGGCTGATTAAAGATACCCGGAGAAGGATCTGCTCTAATAAGGAAACCAAACTTCAATGTTCTTTTGTGGGAAACAGCCGGATTATTATTAATGTATTTTTGTTAAAGCCAACCTTAAGCAACAAAGAGGTAAACTAAGAACACTGCACATGCACCTTACATAGTTGTGTTGCTCTACTTCCTGTGTGGATTCTTTCTATCATTTAATGAGAAAAGTCTTCTAAGAAAACCTTACAGAGGATTTAAAGCTATTTCATGTGTATGACTAATAAGTAAAAATCCTAAGCCGCTCAGCCTTGTACAATGGACTCATTTATGGATGTAAATGATCAGTGGAGTCAGTGAAAAGAAAAGGATTGCATCATGTTGACAGCATGTAGGCACCACAATTCAAGCTCAAGGTCCAACAGCACATTGCTATGTAAATGTAGGTATGCAGGGCAGAATGATAAAGCAAAACATAACCTCTTCCATCGTTCCGGCAAATATGCTCGGCTGAAGCGTCATGTTCCATTGGCTATCATGTGAGAATCGCCTAAATAACTGCCAGGGTTATTTTCTAAAGGGATCCTTTACAAAGAAGAGTCAATCTAATGAGGTTCATTCAAATGAAGAAGTCATAGATCTCTGCACCCACCCACACACACATTACCCCCCCTGACAATAATGATGGATGACCCTGGTGACTGGGTGGGGGAAACATGGCATGGGGAGATTCATGAAAAACCACCAGTGACTAGCTGGGATGAGAGCGGAGACTAGAGTGGGGAACAGAGATAGATAGTGGGATGAGACAGAGAGAAGGAGCAGAAGATGAGGGGAGAGAGGGATTGCGGGGCGTCTCCAACAGCAGTTCCATGAAAGGTCCCAGAAGGAGCCTATACATCACCAGCCTCCCTCTTTTCTTTACAAGACAAGCCGTCTTGGCCACTTTTTCCAGGTCAGTAGCCAGCGCATCCTGTCAGCGTAAACAAAGGGCTCGCTTTGTGAAACCCAAAGTCAAGTTGAGGAGTAACGAGGGCACGGTCCTCCTCGGAGGCACCTCAGGCATCATCCTGCCACAGCCGCCGGCAGCAAGGATGCGACGCACGTTGAATGTGAATTGGCAACTGCTGAGCCACGGCACGGAAAAAAAAAAGGCATGTGTAAAGTTCCTATGGCTCCTTTAATAAATGCACCTGGCACTGTATGGCTCCATCATTAAAACAGACTACAATGAGAACAATGCCACGCATATGATAAGAAACGTCACGGCTCTGATATTGAAAAATGTTTGTTTTAAAATGCAATGACAGATTGAACTGCCACTTACTCAAATATAAAGCTGGCAGTGATCTAAAAGCCCACCTATGAAACAAGTCTTTAGGGGCTGCTGAAGAATCCTATGAAGGATCTCTGGAGACAGACACCGCCGGCAAGTTACTACGATGCACTGAGAGGCACAGCTGTGAATAAAAATATAGGAAAGGCATACAATCAAAAACCTCTGGGGAGTGAAAGCAGGTGTGGAAGACATAAGAGAGGTAGAGGGAAATAGGCAAGTGGGGGGGGGGGGAACTGTTATGGATAATTTCTCTAAACTGGGAATAAATAAACTGACTATATATATTAAAGAACTACTGCAGCAGTTACTGTGGAAATAAAGTTCCTTGACCTTCATTTATAGTTTGGAGGTTTTCAGAAAAGTGCTTAATCTCTGAGATTTAGATGAAAAGTCTGTGCTTTAGGTAAGAAGCTAACGCTAAAGTCGAGGGTTTATTAGCTTAGCTTAGCTAAACACTGGACGCAGAGAGATACGGCTAACTCTGGTTCTCTCCAAACATTCGAAAATATGGCTAAAAGTAACTCTAAAGCTCACTTATTATCACTTTGTGGGACTTGGACATTGTTATTGTTTGTCTGTTTGCCTAGCACTTCTGTGCACTTTGTGTATGAATACAACAACTACATGATTTGAGTTAGGTCTACACAAGCTGTTTTTCCCTCCTTCCACTCATCATGATAATCTTAGAGCAGGTTTGCCCTAGCTTTGGTCAATAAGTAAAGACTTGAGAGTAGAATCTATTTTCCTAACTCTAAGCGAATGAGCTTATGTGAAACTATACCTTTAAAAGTAAATATTCTCCCTCAAAAACAGACAAGCAGCTACTGGGTTTGTATGCCTGGGCCTTCAAGCTAATCATCAGCTAGTACTAGGCTTCTTTAAATGAAGCGTAATTAAATGACTTTTTCAGGGTAACATGTCAAACTCTCAGGTGAATCTGAAATACATCCACACATCCCCTTGGCAACCATCTAGCACAGAGAGTGAGAGTGCGTGAGTCTACTCATGGTGTTTGATGTTGGGTGGCTGCTGGTGCTTCAGCACAGCTCCTGATCCCAGTGGAGCAGTGTTTGATCTGGGCCTGTGCTCTCTTGTGTTGGAACAACCTGCTCAAGTAAGAGCAAAAGAGTTAATCAGCCCTTTGATCTGCTGTATAAAAAGTATGGTAAGTATGGTAAGCAGTCAGTATTAAGGCGGGTTTCTAAAAGAAGTCTAGTGAGAAAGCGGGGGAGAAAAAAAAAAAATCAATGGAGCTTAATATCCTGAGACTTCCCCTGCTCAGCGCTACATTAGCACACTGATGCCGACTGTTGATATTTTTGTTTGTATCTCGAGCCTGCAGATGAAAGACCACATAGTGATGTTCAAAAGATGTTTTTGAAGATTGGACAAATGCATTTGAAATAGTGCTTCAGAGTCTGAAAGGCAGGGGCGGACTGGCCATCGGGACGTGGTATATACGCGGTATATACTTGCGGCACCGAGGTGGGCCGCTCGGATAAGTCACTAGCACCACCCCCCGTAGCCAATTACCTCGCGGTATATACTTGCGGCACCGAGGTGGGCCGCTCGGATAAGTCACTAGCACCCCCCCCGTTAGTATTTTACCGAGGTGGGCCGGCGGTACCGAAGGTTTTCTTGGAGGTTAACTTGTACTTGACTTGTCATTCCTGGATAAGACTAAGATGTTTTATAACATTTAAGGATATGTTCTTTTGTTTGATTATAATTTGTAAAAGGAAATCTCAAACAGACAGAAATATATGACAATATGTGATAGTATCAAGTAGGGCTGCACGATATTGGAAAAAACTGACATTGCGATTTTTTTTCCCCCAGCGATATATATTACGATATGAAAACATACAGGAATTGAAGAAAAGACCGTTTTTTCCCCCGCAAACCATCCTTTCTTGAACTCTAATGCTATACTATATTTAACTGGATGAAGGATTTTAGTCACGGACGTCTGGATCTTAAGTTATCAGAGCAACAAGCTGAGCTAGCTCGGTTAGCAGCGCCGAACTGCCCTGGAGAAACACATGAAACTACTTTATTCAGTGTTTTTACCTTTAATCACCGGGTCCGTTTGCTTTGGAGATTTGATTGTGATTGGTGGTTTGCTGTGCATGCAGAGCCTGCATGTCACTCACTCAAGTACCCCTGACATGAGAGCCGCGCAAGTTTTCCTTTTGTAGCAAGCAGCAAAATAATTGTAACATGACGTGTTTGAGTGAATTTGCATACTTATAGGTAATTTTGGAGAAACCAGCTCGAGTGTGCTAGAATTTGAAAATACACAGGCGGAAAAAATCTCCCACTTCCTTACAGAGCCCCTCCTCCAACACACACGAACGCGCACATGACCAATGAGGGCACGAGATAAGTTTGTGCACAGATGGAAGGCTGACAGGCAGGTAGGCCATCCAGTTATTTTAGCCGGGCCGGCTAAAATGATTGGTCGTGCTTTTTACAGTATTACGGCTTCCACTGATGACATTTTTTTATGGATTTTTTGTCAAAGCACTTAAGATATTCATTGCTATCGGGATGTTAAGAGCATTCCATGGAATATAACAAAAAGTGTATCTCGAGCCGGTTTCTCAAACTTACCTACCCCACCTTTAATATCGCAAGTCCTAAAAAAAAAATATATCTCACGTCCACGCGATGTGAATATCGCGCATGCGCATATCGCGATTATCGTCACGACACGATATATCGTGCAGCCCTAGTATCACAAGTACAGGCTTCAAGCTATCTAGCGAACCTTTGCTAGTCTAGGACTTACAAAAACTAGCCTGCAGCTGAAGGTATTCACACATAAGATTCCTCTTCTGGGCCCAAAGCATATTTGTATCAATTGTCATGGCAAACCATCCAATGCTTGTTATTTTTGAGGGGGATTTTTTCCGTATCCGAATCACAAGTCCAAAAACAGAGTATCATATTGTCAACAGATCGTAAAGACTTTTAAGCCAAATCTGGGTAATTTGGCTATAGAAACACAATTGACTTGACTTGAAAAAACGAAATATCACTCTATATCATCTCCATCCGAGGTATAACTGGCTGTCCTGGACATAACTAAATGTAACATCCTTAAAGCCACACCACAAGCATTGTTAAAAATAAATGCAAAAAAAAGCTTTCATGTTGAAATGCTGCCATGCATTTAAAAATGTTCTATCTATTTTAGCCAACAACAGTATTGGTATTTTTCGCAGTGCTTTGGGTTCATCAGATATATGTACACCTGTGTAAGCTTTGCACTAATCGTCTATGTTTGTGTAGCAGGTTGTTTTCATAATCCAAATGATTCAAACGACCTAATGAAGTTGATGTATGAAGTGACGCAAGCTGACACAAATGAGGCCTTTCATTCTTTGCATTTGATTGCCTTCACTTGTAACACGTCTCAAATTCATTATCTTGAGTACACATTATTTCCAAATTTCAAACCGCTAGTGTATCCTGGGTTAACAAAAAAAAGTAATAACATTTGCTGAGCATCTAATCCCGAGATAAACCAGTGTCATTAACAGCCAATGACTAGCTTTTAGCCCTGCAGAGCATGCACAGTATTTGCACATCAGCTGAAATGTATTGGCGCACTGGAGCAGCGGCGGAGGAAGTCTGATGGGGTTTATCTCCGTTTGTCACTACCGTGTGGTGTGTACGCGGCTTCCCTGCCAGTGGCTTCCTTCTGATGCCAACCCACCATCATCTGCCATAGATTAGAACAAGCTGGGTGTGTAGGGTGGAGCAGGAAGAGATAAAAACTGGGGGAAGAGGGGGGGTTTGGGGCGAGGAGTGAAAGCTAGAAGAAGAAGTCTGAACAGGAAGCAAGAGAGAGAAAGAAGGATCTGCCCTTGAGGTTGTTTTGTGCTTTGTTTAACTTCTAATTTTAACCCCTCACTCAATTTTTCACAAACAAGAAAGGTTTGAATAAAGCAGCTGATCCTGCAATACATCCTTACACATTGCACTTGGTTAAAATGGAAAAATGGGGGTAAACTTAGATGACTCTTCTTGGCATTAACCAACCATGATTGAATATTTGCCTCTGGTGTGTCTGTAATTCTGGTGGCAACCAGCAACAATGTCAGGAAGGGAATCTTCCTAATCATCAAAGTAAATGTTATGAATAAGTCATCTAACAGCTCTAACAAAAAAACACCTTGGAAGGCTGCCAACATCCTGGATCTGAGATATGCTTTAGCCTAAAAGCAGCTACAACAATGACATGTACAACAAACAGCAGAGATCCAAACATCTAAACAAAAACATTTAAGAAATATAGAGATTATATTTCAGATTAGACTTTTGATGTTGATGCAAAAATGGTGGCAAAAAAGGCGATAAATATAATATATACAGCTCAGATATTTTATTTTACCTTTGGCTTTTACAGAAAAGGAGATGCAAACAACTTTATTGGCCTAATCCAAGCATATTAAATCAAACTACACACTTCCACACAAATAAAACTGAATACTCACAACATAGTAGCCTTCAGGGGCCTTACTGAGGGAAGTGATTACTCCAACTGCAGATATGGGGTCTGTGGGCAGCTGGTTGCTCACTTCAGACATGTCAAAGCTGTGTTAAGCAAACAGAAGAGCCTTATCACATGTTTTGCATTTACCGTAACCAGAAAAAACACATTAGAATGATTCATAGTTTTTTCCTTTTGGAAAAAAATATAGATACATCATTAATTTCATAAATATTCAAAAGAAATTTGGTAGAATAAAACATAAAAAACTGCACTTTGTGACATACAGTACAGGGAGTATTTTTTAAATGTAAAAAGGTTTTAAATAAATACGCAAAATGCAGATAGTGAAACACAATTAGGATGCACCCTTCAGGGTCATTAAAAGGAGAACAGACAAGGTTTTTCTTGGCTAAAATGACCACATTATTGACTTCTTGATGAGGCTTATTAGGATCTAGAAGAAAAAGTGGCCCCTTAATCCGGGATCAAATGACAAGTGAGACCAATGACAAAAGCTGCATTTGGAGACCACCCAATGGCTTCACCAAATCACAAATTAGGGGGAGCGATCACATATTTTCAAGGAAGTCCCAATCAATTGCTATCTATTCCTGTCCAAGGGAATTTTTCCCTAATGGGTATGCAAGCCTTTTACAGGGTAAGTGGCTTTGCAATGGTTCCCTTATGCAATTTTATTAGATTAGGTTTAAAGCATTCTTGTACTAACTGACAAAGTTGCTGCATTCAATCTTGATGTTTACGAAATCTATTGCAATTAAGCTGATCAAATTAGGGGATTTACTCCAGAAACAGCTGTCTCTTTAACAAATGCTAGATAGCCGTACTTATTCAAATGAAACAGGATAGCAAATTAGCTAATAGAAAGAAGGATCTCTTTGTAACATTAATTTGTTCAAAATTAGCTTTGTTTTCCAGCACAACATCAAGGCTCATCCAGGCAGACCAAATAAAAATCCATCCAAACTTATTTCCAGCTCCCAAGTAAAACTGTGTTTCCTACATGGTTTACAAACATTGATGGTATATCTGTTATACTTCACTCTGGGTAAAGGAGGACTACAGCATACATGTCACGTTATCTAAACATGTATGAGATAGTACAGGCATCTAAGCCTATATAACAAAATATATGTTTAACAACCTACACCTTAACCTTGCCAACGTGTTGAGAAGATGGAATTAATGCAAGTTGGTGAAAGTTAAACAGTGATCATGTCATTTATGAGTATTTGAGCTACACTTAGGTACCATATCTGTTTACTAGGTAGCTAGCTAACATATACTTTGGCTAATATACACATGCTATGAGCATAACTCAAAATGTACTGTGATTATTACATTCATCTTTAGCTATTAATACAAATATGCATTTAATAATGTGCTGTCAAACAAGAGTGGTCTGCAAATGTACAGATATTAAACTCAATGTTTGTCCACATTGTCACTCTGTTATCCTTAGCTAATGCTAATGCTAATTCAATAATAAGCAGCACGTCTCTCATTTGCTGCTTGGTAACTAACTAACGTAGAGATCTCTGGACGCTAGCTTGAAATGGTAAGGAACCATATGGCTTACCTTCGTGTTTTATTTCAAACATCATCAAATGTTAGCAAAGCTTTGTAAAAGTGGTCAGAAATGTGAAAACCTCTTCGGTAGTGAAATGACATTACTGTATATGGCTGTTATACATGTTTCACGGAGGTCCACATGGGTAACTGTGCAACTGTGTATTATCGCTCATGCAAATGTTTGTTTGAGTAAATAAATAATCAACGTAAGACCTCTAGAAACTGTCTGAGCTGTTGAAAAGATAATCCAAAACCCACAATACGAATCATTTGGCATTTGTTTACCTGGTTGAAACGTGTCCTGCTGTTAGCTGTTAACTTTTTTGAACTTTGGACCTCTTCAGCCCGCGCTAATGTACCGGAAGTAAACACATCCGGGTACTACTGATAATAAATTATTAACCATAGGTTACAATCACCTTCTGTAGCGAAAGAAAGACAAATCCATGTAAGCTTAGTTGACTTATTACAGTGGACCCTTACCAGTGGTTGCATGTAATTAATAAAAGTTGCTCAATTGCTGTAATTAAGTATAGTTCTGGGTTTCTTCTACTTTACTTCAGTATTTCCATTTTCTGCTAAATTGTACTTATACTCCACACATTTCAGAGGGAAATATTGTAATTTTACTCCACTTCTTTTATTTGACAAATGGTACCTGTTGGATAGTCTATGTACTACACATTTTCTCAGTACTATCTCATATTTGCTCCATTTTGATGATTTACATAATTGAAAAAGGTACATTTATTTTCTGATGATTAAAAAAAGAAGAAATTAATATCATATAATAATAAAACACATTTATAAGAGCCATGCTGCCGAATTAGTACTTTAACTGCACTTTTGATTCTTGAGTACATTCAGTTTATAATACTAACTTTTAACATTTGAACTCAGGACTTTCATTTATAATGGAGTATGTTTAAAACTACTAATTTATTAGTACTTTTTGCACCATTGACCTTCATTTCCCTGTTATGTGTCTGTATTGTTGCAAAATGCCAAATGCTTTTTGGTATCATCACTGTAGTCGCTTTTTGAATATAATTGTAATATTTACACTTATAGCTTGAATATGTTGCTGATAAAAAATCACAACATTCTGCTCAATGAGTGCAGCACAGCAGCACTGGATACTTGACGTCTAATACAACAGAAGAGAACATCTTACGAAAGCACCATCAGAAAGCTATATGAATGCTTAATGTGACAATTTACTTTGTCAGTGTGAATTATGCACACACCCAGAAAAAAAGGCCTGGGCCCACAATGCCATATTGACTCGTGGGTGTATTTCTTTGCAATAACTTTTGAGATCCAATTTGGCTATGGTAACTAAATTAAGGTTGTGCTTCACTGAATGACTATCATTACGTGGATGTATCTACGGGTCACGCCTCTGACAGTTGGTTGTCTCTCTAATCATCACATGTCATTACTGTAATCAGATAAAAGTAAGATAAAGAGCAATGTATTAGCTTAGCTGTAACATTAGGATGTCCATCTCCCCGAGCAAAAAACTTGAAAGCCTCTTTGTACACCGTCCAAAACACCATGGGGCGACAGATGCTTTCCCATCGGCGAGTTATTATTTCTACCTCTATCAAACCAATCAAATAAATTATTTCATTGTGCAAGTATTATCCTAATTTATTCTAATCAAAGACTTGTTGCTCTCTTTTGTGACATGGTGCCATATGCCAGCAGGCGTCTTCATTGGGGCCACACACTGTGAAATGTATTTATGGGCTAACATGGCTGCACATGATGTGATCAGTTTTCCCTTTTTTACATTTTTGTAGCACTTCTCTAATAAGGGAGGAGATGTTCAAATGTAAACGCCACCTTCTATGACCGGCAACTTTCACCACCTCCACACTTACCGTTGATGTTAATTAAAAGGGCAAAACCTGCCTGTTATTAGACAAGTGTTCGTTTCTCATTTTAATTTGTAGAGTCTGAGCAGACGAACATGGCACTGCTTGTTTTAACGGCCTTCTTATGTTATATTCAGATTTTAGATGTCTTACAGCTTTACAAGTTTCTTTAGCCTTGTAAAGCACTGTCCATCAATTAGAAAGTGGAGATAATAATTGAAACCAAGGATTATTGAATATGATTAATGGAACACCGATAAAGACACAAAACCTGCCACTAAACAGTGATATTCAGATTGTAAGACAGCAGCATATGATGGATGTTTAGCCTACTGTGTGTCCATATCATATACAAATTATTGTAGCAATAAAATGTGAAATTAACATTTTTTCCACGATAGTAGAGTTTGTTGGATACTGTAACACCCCCTCATCACTAACACCCACCTCAAACACACGCTTCTACAAACACATGCTTCTACCTCAAGGTGTTGACAACCTACTAAAACATGCATGCTCAGTTTATGTAGAATTTGAGGCAATGCTGAAGTTGATAGGATAAAATCTCAGGTGTCAGTGAAAAAAACCGATGAAGAAGGTAAAAAGAAAAAAAAACACACACACATGCTCCGGCTGAGAAGGTGCACACCTGCTAAAGTAATGGTCTAATTATGGAATAGGTGATGAAACACTCGTCGAGAGTCTGGAGATATCAGCAACACATGCTAACTGTGAAAGCCATCAGCTATTACAGTGTTTTAATGTGCGGCACATCGCACGCTGAGGATTGTGGGGAAAGATGAATGATGGCTGTGGCAGATTTCTGTGGGGGAGCAGACAGTGTAGGATGCATAGCATTACAGCTGGCATTTGGAAAAGGTTCATTAAAACTGGGATTTCTTTGTTCACGCATTGTTTCATGTATGCTTTATGACACATCTTAGTTAAAGTCGACCCCATAAACACTGGATCATCAGATCACATACAAAATATCGCACACCTATTCTGGTAACAATGTTGTAGTTGTGAGTGGTAATCAGTGGATGACAGAAGAGCCCCTGGACCAAAATGATACCTTAGTGACGACTTTGCACCCAAATGATAAAAAAAACAGCAAAGGTTTTCTTTTTGTGCGTAAAGGTCATTCACTGTGTTCTGTAATTTGCTGACACTAGTCTAGGGACCGAAGATGGAGATTTCTGTGTTGCCACCCCGAGAGTAATAATATCCCTATCTCAACTTGGGAAATCTACTGCGCCCCAATGTCCCCATCACCCGTATGAACCCATTATGGGCTGTGTAGAAATCTGCAGGTCTCATTTCATATATGACCCTCGTCCCCCTCCTCCATTTTCTGTCTACACATAAAGAAATCCCTGTGTCTCCTGAATAGCTTATAATAACAAGCTTTAAGAAGCTATACCCTTAGTGCCCCCATAGGATACGCCCTTGCAAGACTCCATAATATCATGCTTTTTTTCTAATTAAAGGTCAGTTTTGTCCAGCCTCATTGTTGCCTTGGCTGAAAAATCTCCTGAAACATAATGGCTTTGCCAAATGTGATTTAATTTTCCATTTATGCCATCTGTTTTCTTGGCTAAAGCACTAAATTGCACAAGTTGAAAATGTGGGAACTGTCGGATTCAGTTTGTAATCCTTCACTTTTGTAGTTAAAAAAAGAGGAGATGTCTTATCATCCCTATAGCCTTCCAAGACCAAACACTAGGTCTTGCTTTGACCTATGCTTTGACCTATGGTGCATTTTGAGAGAGTGCATGCCCATGTCATGCATATAGATACAGTCACTATACTGTAGCTTAAAGTCATTTCCTTGATAGTATTTTACATGCACTCATCTCTGCTTACACTTTATTGCTCAACTTATCATTACACGAACATCCATACACTCACATTCATATGTGCATGCACACCACACACATATACATACATACACACATATACTTTCCTCCGTCTGGTGGGGAGTCTGGACTGCTCCGACTGACTGCGCCTCACTGCCCTTGTGCAGTGGTGTGCCAGTTGTGCCTTCCCCCATCGCTGTGAATGCCACCATCTGGTGTGCCACGTGGACATCATAATCTCCCCTTAATTACATTAGCAGTGCAATCAGTTACTGCATTACAAGGCCGGGCGAAGAGCTTTTAAATCTTGGAGGAAATCATAAATAATTGCACTAAGTACCCAGCGCCAGATGTGCGTGCCAACTTGGCCGGCATGAGATAAATAGTAACCTCAACAACAGTGTTCAATATCTACTCTGCAAAAAAATGTTGGGCAGTATGATCCCCTTGTCTTTTGCTCCCACCCTGTCCTTTCCCTTTGGATTCCCTCACTTCGTATGTTAAAGCACACAGAGAGGTTGGAGTCCATTGACTGTATGGTCAGCTACCTGTTGCTGCAGTGTGACTGATGGCATCCAGGAAACAGTTTGTAACAAGGTGTTTCACAGCGTCATCATTCGGTCCATTACTACACCCTTCGGTCATTCCTCAGTCATGTGATTAGATGTTTCTGAGGTATCTAGTGCTGTAAATTCTATATGGATCCTGAATAGTTGAGTTTGGTGTGTGAGTGCAGGGTAAAAATACATTACACATGATGAGCCACCATCATGTCTTTTGTCCTTGGAGGGGATGTTGCATTGTGTTGCATGGTACTTTTCACTCATCTTCCTGTCATGTTCTCGGCTCTCAGGGCGGCTCATACTGACACACATCTTACTCACTTCATTTCCAGCTTAAAAATCTTCCACTTACCCACTGAGGGCCACTTTCCTATGTCAGAAAGAAAACGGTGGTCACCAAAGATTTTAACAGTAACTCTAAATACAATTTGAGTCAGTGGCATTGATAGACATTTTTCCTGTAAAACATCTTGACTCGTTAAGCAGGAGACGCACAGGTGTAGCTAATAACGCTAACGAGTAGGACAGTAGCACAGCCCTGCAACTGGCATAATTAAATTGTATGCAGCCGTCGTTAATGTAATTCAATACACCTGTGCTATTCCTAAATTGTCTGCAGTAAAAACAGTCTATTGTAGTTTACACTGCGGAATGATATGAAAAGGACATTTCTGCCTAGAGTCATAACAAACTTTCCACCAATGGATCCTTGTGAGATTGTGGAAACAATACCCTATTGCCCCTTTCATTGATAAACTTAAACTGGTACATCCCCCCTTAAGTATTCGATTTAAAATGGTTCCCCGTAATATATCTGTGAACCAGCGCTCATGATTTAATTTCTCTTCATTTACATCTGCAATTTCGTTTTTACATATTCGCATGATGGTGTTCACAGGTAAACACATCATTGGCATCATTGAAACAGGATTGTGCAAATCATATTCTCTTTTCAGTAAAGTCATTTAACTTTGATGTTGATGTTATAATCAAGAGATGTCTCAGAGATGTGAACACTGTGAACTGTTTGCATGCACTATTGTATCTTTACT